AAAACAAAGTCTGGGTGCCCAACGCGCTGCCCTTGAGTCGCGAGGCATGGCCAAATCGCCAAAAAGAAAAAATCCTCCGACCGCCAAAATCCGCCGCTGCATCCGCAAATCACCCTGCAGGCCTGGCACCAGCATCGACCGCCTTGCCCTTTCTCGAGTCTTGCATCCGAACCCGTCGATCTTTGGCGGTGTGATGCTCGCCATCCTGGCTTTCAAACTTGGCCGGTACGTTTCGACGCTTACCCGATGCACCTCGTGCTTACCCGGTCCATCCCCTGCTCGGATCACCCGTCGTGATCGCTCTTTCGCCATTGCAGAAGAGCGGAGTGGACGAGTCGAGAGCCGAGAATAGCATGCGCTTCCTAAATTCAGCTACAAGCTCGCCGCGTTTGCGCTTCTTCGGTGCATGCTCGGACTGCTCGCGCATCGCTCAGCAGTGTTGGGGCGCTGTCTCGAACCAGTTTCCAAACGTCACCATGCCCATACCCATCGCCGCACTCACCTCCCTAGGCAGCCGCCGAATGCAGCTCCAGCAGCTTCAGGTTCGACCATGACAGATCCACTGGAATGCACCGCTGCTGGACGGCGTGGTCGAGCAAGTGTCGAGCGGATATCGAGGTGCACCTGCCCAGAACGAAGCGTCGATCGCAACATGACATCACCTCGCATCGGCGCTTCGAATCTTCCAGATCGCGCGTCCGCACACATGCACCGGCGAGCAGGACCCTTTCCAGCCGCCCCCGCGCGCAATTACAATGTCAGTAGCAAGATGTAACAGTCTCAAAAAAATTCATTGTGGCTGCACAGGGTCCAGGCAGCCGCATCCGACTCCTTTGGCCACCTCGGAGCGCGCTTGCGACTTTTGGACGAGATTTGCGGATAAGCGAGCGTAGGTCGGCAAATTTGACCGCGTGCTTTTTGCTTTTCGCGCGCACCCACCTTGGCTGCCAAGAGAAATCGGATCGCACCTTTGGCCCGCTCGCTCGCCATCTCGGCCTTGGATACGAGTAGCAGCTGCTTCGCTCGCCACACTCGCCGCTACTCGAGCCGTCTGCGCCGGGCAGTCCCGACCTTCATACGCGAGAGTCCGCCAAGCTCAAGACCCAGTATTCTCCTCCCCGCCCCCCCCCCCTTTCCCCC